AAAAAACAGGCGATGATCATGTATGGACATACTGCCATCAGAGCTGTATTTGACATTTGATTTGGGGCAGCAATTGTTTTCTCCCACATTAAGGGCCTCGCGACACCAATGTCGAAAGGGTGAAATTTTCGACAACTGTCAGACCACTTTCGACATTCACCGTTTCGACACAATGGCTGCCTTCGCCACACCGCAATTTCGTTTCTAGAAAAGGGAAGAAAAACAAAAAAAAAGAAGAAAAAAACAAAAAAAAAGAAGAAGGAGACACGGGATGTTGATGCATAGATGTTGAAATCAGCACATCCTTCAACACCTCGTCTCCGTGATGTCGAAACTGGACCCGCTGCAGGCGGGCCGTTCGACACCCATGTCGAAACCACCTTTCTGACCATTGTCGAAAAATTTTCGACATTTTTTCTTCGACAGTCTGTGTGGCGAAGAAAAAATGTCGAAAACTCGAGTTTCGACATTGGTGTGGCGAGGCCCTAAACCTGGCCGGGGAACTGTTTTCAATTTGCATCCCGACCGAAACAACTGGGAATTTTCTTGGTCGCGTGGCAAGGATGGTAGTTTAACCAGGCTGAACTAGTGGGCGAAACCCTTCTGTGGCGCCCTGACAGTTTTTCCATCATTGACGTGTTGGACCCAGGGCATGCAGACCGGTACATGCAAAACGCTGCCTCCAGGTTAGCTGGCCATTTTCCAGTACCACGGGTGGTTTAAACACGTCAACCTGGCACGTTGCTTTGCAGGATTCATGTCCATGTGGTGGTCCCCACGTTAAGGGCAGAGGTGACAGCCGCAAGCAGGAAGGGGCACGTCGTTGGGAGGGATAACAAAGTTCATTCACAAAAGCTGCAGATGTCAAATAGGATGGGACGCTGGACCCGGTTTCACACAGGTGCCGCTGCCCACCAATAGACGGGAGCCATGTGCAGGCTGATACTACGGGAGGATGCTCAAATCACCTCCCGCAGTACAGCCTGTGGACGGGTCACGTGT